TTTATGTTGAGGTGTAATCCGTACTGAAGGCTGTGGTCTTTGGTCTTCATCAGTAAGTGCTTCAAGTCCTCTTCACTTTCAGCAAGCAAGGTTGTGTCATCTGCATATCACAGGTTGTTAATGAGTATTCCTCCAATCCTGATGCTGCATTCTTCTTCACATAGTAGTCCAGCTTCTCAGATTGTGCTCAGCATACAGATTGAATAAGTATGGTGATTTTAAACCACGCAGTATCCCCTTGTTCTGCTGAAACGACTGCCTCTCTCTCTCTATATATATATATCTTCTGTATTTTTATGCAAATGATGTGTGTTCTAAGTTTTTTTTGCCAACCGAGCCCTCCCCATAGGAGATATTTTCATAAGCACACTGCTAATTTATTTTACAGCAACATGTAAAAAAAGATTATCATAGCATGCTTACTAAAATGGGGGGTAGTTCGGTTGGCAAAAAAATGTAGGACATGTGCATTATTTGCATAAAAATACAGTGTGTATGTATAAGCCCTGGGACACAAACGGTTAAGCACTCTGAAAGCTTGGTGGGTCCAACCCACCCAGTGATTCCATGGGAGGAAGACTTGGCAATCTGCTTCGTAAAGATTACAGCCAGGAGAACCCTATGGAGAAGTTCTGCTGTCACATGGGGTTGCTAAGAGTCAGAATTGACTCGATGTCACCCAACAACATATACATACATACAAACACACACACACACACACACACACATACACACACATATATATGTATGGAGCCCTGGTGGTGCAGTGGTTAAGCGTTTGGCTGCTAACCAAAAAGTTGGCAGTTTGAATCCACCAGCCACTCCTTGGAAGCCCTATGGGGCAGTTCTACCTCTGTCTTACAGAGTTGCTATGAGTCAGAATCAACTTGATGGCAACAGGTATATATGTGTGTATATACAGAGAGAGAGATTTACTTCATGGAATTGTCTCATGTGATTGAACACACCCTAGGGAAACTCCTTTTTTGCTCTTAAGGCTTTCAGCTGATTGAGACCTGCCCACATTATGGAAAGTAATCTGCTTTACTAAAGACCGTCTGATTTAATCACATATAACTACTTTATAACAGCAACTAGACTAACATTTGACCAAACAACTGCATACCATAGCCTAGCCAATTTGACAGATAAAGTTAACCATCACAATACTCCCTGCACCAAACATAAAGCTATAGTGATCCAGGAGATGTTGCAAAGAGGAGGCCTCAGATGCTCATGAGTTCTCTTTGCTTCCTCTTCTTCCCTCAGGAAATAAAGCTCAGTGTGCCCATGCCCTACACACTCAAGGTGCACTACAAGTACACTGTGGTCATGGAGACTCAGCTCGGGCTCCCCTACAGCCAGGTATTGGACAATGTGTCTAAGAAACTGAAGCTCCTGCCGGAACATACTAGGCTGAGGTGAGCGCTATGCAGGCAGTAGTTTTGGGTACAGCTGGGGACCCGGTGCTGGCTGGAAGGCAGAGAGGAGGAGCATGGTGTTTTGCATGGATGTTCTCTGACTTGCTTCTTACTCTTTGTCCCTGCCCAGCTACCGGCCTCGGGATAGCAATGAGCTGGTGCCCCTTTCGGAAGGTAGCATGAAAGCCGCCTGGGACCAAGTGAAAGACTACTGCTTGACTCTGTGGTGTGAGAACACAGTGGTGAGTGCAGGGAGCAGGGCATGTGAGGTTGTGTTCCATTGTGCATTGGCTCAACAACAATTCAACATTTATCAGGCACCTTATGAGCCAGACACCATGCTTGGTGTTGGGAACATGGTGGGTAACAAGATGCAGCTCTGCCTCCCTTTTCTCTGAAGCCTAATCCCTATTGCAGCCCGGAGTGGGTTTCCCATAAGAAAAGAGCAGACCCAGAAGGCCCAGGAACCCACAGAAAGCCCCCAGCCCCCTCCATCTGCTGCCACGCTTAATTGTTTCGTGGTTCATCCCCATCACTGTCAAGAGAGATTGGAATCATCAAGTCATAGCTTGAGGCTGAGCTCATAGCCATTCTTCATCTTCTTAAATTTCCATGAGGAAAACCACTTGTGGGTGAAAGAAAACAGTATTTATTTTGCAGAGAAGATTCGGGTTAACAACCTTTGAGTGTTTGAGAACTTCATGTGTGTCAAATACTGTGCTAAATACATTCTAGGTATTCTTTTAATCCCCACAACTCTACGAGGTAGGTATTATTAGCCTCATTTTATAATTTGGGAAACAAGGCAAAGAGAGGTCAAACAAAGTGACCAAGATCACACAACTGACCACTAGCGGAGTCAGGATTCAGGCAGGGAGGCATTTCGACTTCAGAGCCTGCCTGGGTTCTTAACCACCATGCTATACTGTGACAATAAAAGGGCAGGTTATCTTATTAGCCCTGATATCTCGAAAAGAGTTAGTGGACTTTCCATAAAAATAAAGGGAGATGGGAGCAGGAGCAAAGTTAGAGGTTAAAAATAGTAGCTGCAAGGTCAATACTCTTGGATTTTGCCCTTTAGGCTCCAGAGAAGTTGACTTCTTTTTGTTGTTGATGTTGTTAATTCTCTCCTCTTACCCCAGCCCCTGCAAACTATAGATCTGCTTTGTTACCATAGTTTTGCCTTTCCTGGAATTTTATGTAAGTGGATTGTACAGCATATAGTCCTTTGTGTTTTAGTAGTCCATTCCTTTTTATTGCTAAGTGATTTTCCATTGTACGTGTATACCACAATTTATCCATTCACCCGTTAATGGGGCATTTGGGATATTTCCAGTGTTTATTTAGTGACATTTATTCCTCAACAAACATTTGCTAAGCACCAACTGCTCTGTCTGTAGAGAGTCCCTGGAGATATAACAATTAAGAAGACACAGGCCCTTCTCCAAGCAGACTAACAATTATAAGCATCATGTTAAGTGATCTAACCGAGATACACAAATGGTGGACTGCTTTATGGAAGCCCATGGGAGCATATCTAAAGAATGCTGCAGGGAGGTGGGACAAGTCAGAGTAGTCTTCCTGGAGAAAGTGATACCTAAATCGAGTCTTGAAGCTTCAGCCTGAAAAGAATAAATAGAAATTAGCAAGGTGAATGAAGGTAGGATGTTATATAGGTAGAGAGAACAGTGGGACACCCTAAGTGGGTGAAGGGGCTCAGTGTTACTGGATGTGAGGGAGAGTGGTGGGAGACAACGGGGCCAGATTAGAAAAGGCCTGTACTGCTGGTACTGCTAAACTAGGATATTGTGGGCAAGGGAGAGAAATAATCAGGTCTTGTTTTGGGTGGATGATTCATGGGGCATACAAACAAGGCAGGAAGATCAGCTAGGCTGGCCAGTGGGCCTCCGAGTAATCAGCTCTCCAGTCTGCAGCTAGGGCGGGCCCCTGATAGTGTTAATGAGACCACAGTCTCCACTGACTGAAGCTGTTGCTAATCAGGGTTCCTATGAGTTTCAATTCTTCCTCTAGTCGCCTGCATTTATATATATCATATATCATATATATATCAGTGTAAAAAACAGTTGCTGTCGAGTTGACTCTGACTCACGGCGACCCCATGCGTGTCAGAGTAGAACTGTGCTGTATAGGGTATTCAGTGACTGATTTTTCAGAAGTAGTTCACAAGGACTTTCTTCTGAGGTTCCTCTGGGTGGACTCGAACTGCCAAACTTTTGGTTAGCATCTAAGTGTGTTAACTATTTTCATACCTAGGCATTTCTGTTACCAGTGTAGAGAGCTACTATTTTTCATCTAAAAGTGGATTTTAAGGAAATGGCCAGGCCAGGAAAATGGTTTCAGCTCTCTAGGCCACGGGCCCATGGTAGGAGAGGTCACTCCTCCCCACAGCTGAGCAGGGGCTTCTGCTTAATTAGGGGGAGGGCTTCCTTGGTAGATTCTCACCCAAATCAAAGACAAATGTTTGCTGGAAAAAAGCGTGGGAGAGAAGAATGACGATGGGACTGGAGAAGGGAACCGTATAAACCCCAGAGTTTGTGGCATCCAAGAGTTCAGAAAATTGCTGTCAGGAAGTAGAGCCACCGGGGCTAAGAGAAGAGGCCCCAGATGCAAATAAGTGCAAGTACGAAGGTCCCTTGGAAGTCTGAAAAGGTTTTCCAATTGCCCTTTGACTAACCCCTTCAGAAGCCTCTTGAAGGATTCTGCTCGAGATGTTAACTACTTAAGTTTGTACGTTTTTTCCCCCATTAACGAGAGCTTCAATCTATGCAGCGGCTGTACATGACTAATCCTTCCCCATCTCCCAACAGTCTTTTTGGAACTCAATCCAGGGTCAGGGGTCATGGTTGAACCCTCTTTATCACCGCCCCTTACCCTTGGGGGCAGCAAGTTAGGTTGTTCTCATTCACTTAGAAGGGAAGAGAAATGGACTAACATTTATTGAGCATCTACTCTATGCAGCAAACACATCAAGTTCAAATATTTTTATTTATTTAGAATAGTACTGTCACATGAGTAAGTGTTCAGAAAATGCCAACTACTATTATGCTATGTCTTCTCATTTAATTCTTCTAGCCTCAATTTCAGGTGAGGAAACAGGTTCTGGGAGGCTACACTCTTGCTCAGGGACCCAGAGCTGGTCTTGGGTCTTTGGACTCCTTAGAGCCATCTCCATGTCACTGTACTGCTCTCAATAATGAGGATATGCCAAGTAGGAGCAAACAGCACTGCGAAACTAGGACTTTCGTATAGCAAGTTAGCCTAGTGGTGTTCCTAATCATGACTTGTTAAATCCTAGGATTCCCATCTTTAGACATCGCATCTTTCCCCCTTTTTAACGTTGGTAAGTCAAAAATAACCATAATTATGACTGAGATGTGTGAGAAATGTTGTTATATATATTCTTATTAAAAGTAAAGCCTTTTTCATGGCTTTAGAAAGATAATGTGGAGCTGGGCAGTGGTTCTCATTTTAGGGAGCATCAGATTTCGTAGGTATGGGTTCGGGCTGAGATGGGTTACCACTATCAAGGCCCCCTGTGTTGTTGGTGCTTAAGAAAGGGTGCTGGATTCGGAGGTAGGAAACCCAGATATGAATTTGTGCTCTGCCACTTATCTGTGACTCATCTTGTTTCCCCATCTGAAAAGAAGGAACAGTAATGCCTAGTCTACCTTTTTCATTATTGTGGCAAGGAAGGTTTCAGCAGGATACTTTAAGACTACACACAGTTCTGCTGACCTTCTGATTTCATTTATCTGACCATCTAGTTTTCATAAAGTGCAAGCTAGGTCTGTGCTGGGCACTGACCACAAACCCACCTGTGTGAGTTTCTATCCCAGGTGCTGCACTGACATGCCACTGACTGCTTTCTCTAGTGATGTTCAGTGTTCACTGGTCTGTTAAGAAAACTAACAGGTCGTTCATTATCTCAGGGTGACCAAGGCTTTCCAGATGAATCCAGGGAAACTGAAAAATCTCATGCTAATAACCAGACAACAAAACCTCAGCTTAAGGAAGGGAGCCAAGTGGTAGCACTCTTCAGTTATGAGGCTACCCAACCAGAGGACCTGAACTTTCTGGAAGGGGATGTAATCTTGGTGCTATCAGAAGGTAAGTCTACTCTATGATTATGGAAACTAACTTAAGTGTTAGCAGAAACAAGGTCAGTGCAGAGAGAAACAATAACCTGTAAACTAAACTTCAGCCAGTGGTTTCATCTTCCTAGCTCAGTTAGGGAAGAACAGAAGTGAGTGCTCAGCCTTTCCCTGTCACTCTAAGGGCAGGGAAGCAACGAGTGGCCTAGTCAGATGACATCTTGATTATTAAAGATGGCTGATTTGGAAACGAGATTGTCACTCCTACAGTTAACAATAAAAAGGTGGCTGGAGTAAGTTTGCTTTTGCACCAAACACAGGATGCCTACTTTCTGCAAACTAGTTTCTTTGAATTGATGCACTTTTCGAAGGTAAACAAAGAAAAGGTATAACTGGCCTTAAAGGCAGGCGTTCAAAATGGCCCCATGTCTCTGCTGATTATTCAGAATGTTAGGTATCAACACATTAAAAAGTGAAGCAGGAACTTGAGCTCCAACTCAGCACTTCTCAGATTTCTTCACTATGTCTAAGCATAACTTGGAGTTTTTCAAAATAAATTCAGCTAGCCCCCCCAGAGATTCTGATTCAGGTCTGGGGTGGGGCCCCCAAATCTGCATTTCTAACAAGCTGCTGAGTGATGCTGGTCTACTGACCATGCTCTGAGCACTGCTGTAACTCATGGTTTGACACAGCTGTTTCTCTACCTAGGCAAAAATGAGATTCCCATCACAGAAACCTTATCTACATGTCCAAAATGCTGTGTATTAGCAATGCAAAAAGCTAATACTATTATCAATTGTAACAGAAAACCCAATGGATTAGAGTGGGAGAATTTCAAAGTTAATGGGGGTAGGGAGTGTACAAGTGTGTAGCAATTGACCCAAAATATGGGTGGTGAAAAACACGCACGGAGCACTACCAGTGCGTGTCTCCCAACAAGGGAGAGTGAAAACTCAGCAGTAAGAACTGGGTTTAATAACTGCCAGTGCCTTAATTGTTCAGTTTTTCTCGCGGATAGAGATGAAATAAAGGGGAGAGAAGACACAGAAAAACCTGGGTAGATATGGCAAGAGGGCAGTGTACTCATTACTGTGCTATGTACGAAAGCCTAAGCCAGGTTTAAATCAGGAAGCACCCATATAATACTCTAGAACTTTATTGTTTTAACACTTAATAGAAAACAGAATTCAGCATAAACATGGGACGAGGCTGGGGATGACAAAAGTTCCGTGTGGAACTATCCAAATGAAGCAATTTTCTCATACTGGTTTTAGAAACTGATGCATACTTTCCCTTTTATCAGTAAATGAAGAATGGCTGGAAGGCGAGTGCAAAGGGAAGACTGGTATTTTCCCCAAAGCTTTCATTGAAGAATGTGCAACTCCCAGAGAGGTCTAGGACGTTTCACAACGTCCAAGACTGAAGGAAGCACTGTCATTTGTTGGCAAGCCTTTGCAGTCCTCTGCTGTACATTGTACCGAGACATTAGTTTGGAAAATTGTTAACCTACTCTCCCGTTAAAATTTGACCTACTAGACAACGATGTGAGAACCCAGGATTACTCTGGGGTGGAGGCTGGATGTGTCTGGAAGGGGCAGGATGGGGTAGTCTCGGGTGCTGGTGATCTGTTCTTTGCTCTGGGTCCTGGCTACACAGGTATGTTTACTTTATGAAAATTCACTTAAGAGTTGTACACTTATGATTGGGTGTGCTTTTCTGTATGTGTGATAGCTCAATAAAAGAAACTTTCAAAAACAAACAAGGCACCCAGAGTCCAGGCCCAAGAACTAAGTGTATTACTGTTCTGTACCATTAATATCATAGACTCCTAGGGCATGAAGTAACCTTACATGTAATTCAGAGGGCACACATACAAAATTAACTTTTCTTTATTCATTAGAAGACCCATTGCTTAAACAGAACCTAGACTGAGCTAGGTTCCCATGGGATATAGCATTCAATTCCATAGAGAATGAAAATACTAGAATTACATCCCTTTATGCCTTCTCAGAGAGGAGCATCTACTAAGAGTTCAAAACTGAATAGATGCCACTAACACTTAAGCACTGAAAAGGAGCTGTGCGCAGGCATCCAGGTGGTTAGTTGTATCCTATTAGTTAGCACTTTATAATATGCACTGCACTAATAAACATGATGGAGCCCTGGTAGCGCAGTGGTTAAGAGTTATGGCTGCTAACCAAAAGGTCGGCAGTTTGAATCCAACACCCGCTCCTTGGAAACCCTATGGGGCAGTTCTACTCTGTTCTATAGGGTCGCTGTAAGTTGGAACCGACTCAACGGCACCTAAAAACAACAGACATGATGGAATGCTAAGGGGGTTTTTTTGGTGGTGGTTGTTATTCTGCCAAATGACCCAGTTTTTCACGGGTTAACCTGGGTGAAGGATACCATAAATACTAGACCTTAGGACCTGGCCTTAATCCCCACCCCTTTCTCCCTTTTCTTGTACAGTATGTACGTCTTTGCTAACAGTTTTTAAAGTGTGTAGGTGCCTGTTAAAAAGAGTTAGGAAATGAACTGTAACGCAGAGCTGCAGCAGCTAATGCCTAGGTGAAAGGCCAGCAGTGGTAAGTGTGACAAGGTAAGTCACCACGTGCTTCTGGCACACTGGAGAGGGCCTCCCAGGCTACCATGGGAAGCTCTGCACACCTGGGAAGAAAAGCAAAACCAAAGCTAAGAATAATAATTACTGTTGCTGTTAATTAGACTTAGTGAATTTTAAAGCCAAAAGGATAACCAATATCTGAATTGCCTAATTAACAGCTACAAAACAGATTAAAAGTGATTGGCTATTAACTCCTTTACATAAGCCATTCTTTCTTTAGGAGATAAAAAAATTTAAGTTTCTTTCTATCTTTCTCCCATGCCTTTCCATAATAATTCACTAGTTTGGAATGCTACTAAAAGCATCTGAAGCACTTTCAAGTTCCGATCATCTCGCTTTCCCAACTGGACTTCTGGTTTTAATTCTTGCTTATTTTATAAGTTGGATTTTCACTGATACTATATCTTTTAGGACAGGAAAAAAAAAAAAACAATATACACAGGTCTGGTTGGAGAGAACATGGTTTAATTAAAGGCAAAACTGATTTCAGCAGCTGCAGGTCTTGCACAGACCAAAAAAAAAAAAAAAAAAAAAAAAAAAAAAAAAAAAAAACCAGAAAAAGAAAGAGAAAGAAAAACCCCACATAAAGAAATTTACTACACAAAACCAGTTTCTGATGAAGATTCTCCTCCCCATCCTCTTTACTCCACAGTGAGGATGATAAGGCGAGGACCCCGCCCCAAGAGTCAGAAAACATTCCAAACATCAAATTCTCATGCAGAAATGGGGCTGTGGATGGGACTCGGGCACTACTGGGAGTGAGATGGTGAACCTGGTTAGCTTGTCTAGGGTGCAAGAATCAGTGACAGTTCAAACACTGGAATGTTGCAGCTGCCTGAATGCAGAGCTCAAACACATAGACGGGGTAGAGGCAGTAGGGAGGAGGCTCTGAGGGGCGAACAGGAGAAAGGCAACACAGGGAAGGGGCTGGAGAGAAGCACAAAGGGTTTCATACTGCCACTGAGCGGGGCGCTTCACCCTTTTCAGATCTTTCAAAAACAAAAAACAAAACAAAACCAAAAATCCCAAACACCACGTCAAACTAAAACAGCATTAATGTAAGCATATGGGGCTCCAACCACTCTGAAGAGCAATGAGCATTTCACCCCTCTTCACTGCTGGGGTTGCCCAGGCTCCAGTGACAAAAGGGGCTCCTGGATGTGCTTTGCTCTGCAGCTGTTTTTTAGCTCTAAAGCCCCAAGCGAACGGCATACACTCATCCATCCCGCTCCCTCCAGGAGGGGATGGACACATGGGCACACCTCCCCCCAGTCACACAGACGTAAGAAGCCTCCCAGAAAACAAACCCTACCACTAGCACAGCAACTGGACATTTAGATCCTTTCCATAATTTCCCCTTAAAATATGACTTTTCCAGGAAATGACTAACAGAAGTGCTGTCCTTCTGTTTCTACACAAGAAAATTCAGTCCTCTTTCCTCCTAATAAATATCAAATAGAAAGTTTATTTTCCTTTCTTTCGCCTTTTTCAAAATGGACTTCGTTGTGTTTTCTTCCGTGCACGACATGCACATGTCGCCTTGAATGTCACTCTGAAAATGGGGGTTGGGAGACTGTAGCTGGGCGGGGCCTGGCCCCTCTGTGGGCGATGCAGACTCCGCTGCTGCTTTCTTCTTCAGACTGTCCTTTGGGCCCCACCTGCTGGACCCCACGCTGTTGCTTCTTGGTGAGATGTTGAACACAAGAGGAATACAAACAATTACTAGCATACAGCGTAGGGCAAAAAAGCAATGGAGGTAGGGGCATGAGGAGGTGGGTGGTAAGTAAGGTGGGGCACAAAAACCAACCAAACAAAAAATAACCACACTGAAAGCTTCTACCTATTAAAATGTGTCAGGCCATGAATGGACAGACTAGCCTGCCTTCTGTCAGACAGCTTGCTATGCTACCGTAAAATGTACAGGAATCAAAGACATTAATTTAAAATCCTACAGCAGTCACCTGCTAGTCCGTCCAGCCCAGCACCACCACCCACACTGCATCCTCGACTGGGGCTCGAGCACCTACAGAGTGAAGGGCATTCCCTGCTGGGTCTCCAGGCCAGGGAGGGCCTACCAGAACCTTCGGAGTGAAGGTGAGGCCATGTACTCTCCCTTATGGAACACTTCCAATGGCCAAAGAGGTCAGTTTCTCCATCCTGTCACCACCAACCTCTCACAGGAGCAGTGAACGGGGCTCTCCTTGCTGCACACTGACTAGAAGCACATCTGTGTATTGAAGAATTCAGTGTGACATTTTACTACTGAGAGGAATAACAATAATAAAAGATGTTTAGGAACAATTTCAACTACATTCTCAGTCAGCAAAGCAATCATTAATGGATTCCTATTTTATTCCCCAAAGAGGAAAAAAGGACTGAGAAGTTCCCATTGGCTTCTCTCATCTGCCTTTCCTTCTCAGCTTTCACTTCCCATGTGGCTGGGGACATGCACAATGGAGAAGGTGAGAGGCGGTGATATCAGGTAACTGAGTGAGACAAACAGCAGTTCCTCTCTCCCTCCAGAAGGCCCGGGGGGACGGAGAGTTCCTGATGGTTTTTTCTTTTTGTTGCACTGCGGACATTTCGTGCACACTCAGCGGGCTGGTGGAACACTTACACCCTCTTGACAGCAAGGAACAGAAAAGAGGGCTGCCACCTGCAGGGGACTGTGTGGGCCAGTCCTACAAGCCCAACATGCCATGGTTTATGAAGCCTTCATTCCCAGGGTTGCCACTTTGGCCTCAGTGCGGTGGGTTCATGTTGCCTTGTCCCCGTTGCTGTTTCTGCTTCTGCTGCATTAGCAGCTGCTCCAGGGCGGAAGGTCCAGGATGCATCATGGAACTGGACCAGATAGACTGAAAAACAGCCCAGATCTTATCAGCAGAGGGCAAATGTGTGGTTGTCTGAAAGGGATTTATTTTTGAATCCCAGCTAAATATAAATGCACATATGTCCCAAGAACTCTACTCTAGCCCTGTAAAAATCCAGCTATTAGAAAAAGTCCTTATAAGACTCTTTTTCAAGACTAGTTCCCATTAAGATTGTTTTAAATGAGAGAAAGTGAAACTATGTTTCATATAAAGTCTTTTACTAAAACTCAGCTGTGAGGTACTGTAAGGTATTTACTATAAAGGTTTTAGGCAAATAAAACATTTCTAAAATTTGATACCCTTCTTTGATTTCATTAGAAAAAGACTTAAAGCATTCCAAGATGGATCAGAACTTTTTCAACCTTAGAACAAAACTAAAACCTTTGTTTTTATCCCCTGAAGATACTGCTTTATTACTAGTAAATTCACGACTTAAAAAAAATCCCATTCAAAAATCTTACAAGGCAGTCCATGTTCCCAGGACTTTTCTAAGGGCCTTAGAGAACGAGCCTAGCTATTTGTGTGAATGAAAGTGGAGCCATCAATGCTGCAAGAGTTCTTGTTCCTGAAATCCACTCACCTTTAGACTTTCCATGAGGACAGCAGAGGAATCCTCCATGGAGGGGCCATGGCCTGCCCAGGTGCCACTTGGAGTGCTGGCTGAATGCCAACTGCTCTCAGAGGATGATGTTGCTGAGAGATAATCAATGCCAAACCCACCCATGGCTAGAGGATGAAAAGAGATAAAAACTCAAGAAGGCACTCTATCATTGCCAAGTGCCAAAACCAGGGAAGGATACAGCAAGTTACTTCACTCTTGCTAGAGCAATAAACCCAGATCTCACCTGGCTTATCCGTTTTCCATCGATCTGCAATCCTCCTATCCCTGTTATCTGGAGTCCCAATGGGTCCAAAGTTGGAAAATGGAACAGAATTATGGTTGTGTGTTGGAGGAGAGCTTGGTAGACTGCTTGGATTGGATGAATGAGGAGATTGGCTGGCTGGTGTTGAATGATCTATTATAATAATAATACAAGAAATTAAAAGAATAAGATGTTTCACAAACATACCAAGAACTGAAGTTTCCTGTAGATCTGATCACTTGAATTCTAGTAAAAATAGCCACTGAGCTTTGAGGGAAAGGCAAAATAAGGTCCCCCAGTGGGAATCTGCCAGATACACTAATTGGCCTTATCACATAAAAACAAACAAGAAAACAAAACAGGTGACAATTTTTGTCAATTGCATGCACTAGCTTCAGTTAAGCATCTACTGGTCTGCTCTAGCAGAACCAGAACTGCCTAACCTTAAGAATTACTATTAAATCAGATCCAATTTACAAAATGCTATTTTAAAAATCTCTATTTTAAAAAGTGCAATTGTTCCTGCAAAGAAGGAATATCTACAAACAAAAATAAAAAACAGCTAGAAACCATATACTTCACAAGTTAGAACTCATATTTTCTCCTTTACAACTCTGCTGGTTACAGAGGATGTAAAAAGCTTTTCTAGTAGCATTATGTGAACTAGCGCATCAGGCTTTCTAACTATTTTCTTTCAGAAGTTAATGTTTTTTGTTGTTGTTAGGTGCCACTGAGTTGGTTCTGACTCATAGCGACCCTATGCCCATGTACAACAGAATGAAACACTGCCTAGTCCTGTGCCATCCCCACAATCATTGCTATGTTTGAGCCCGTTGTTGCAGCCAGTGTGTCAATCCATCTCGTTGAGGCTCTTCCTCTTTTTTGCTGACCCTCTACTTTACCAAGCATGATGTCCTTCTCCAGGGACTGGTCCCTCCTGATAAGATGTTCAAAGTACATGAGATGAAGTCTTGCCATCCTCGCTTCTGAAAAGCACTCTGGCTGTATTTCTTCCGAGACAGACTTATTTGTTCTTCTGGCAGTCCATGGTATATTCAATATTCTTCGCCAACACCATAATTCAAAGGCATCAATTCTTCGGTCTTCCTTCCTTATTCATTGTCCGGCTTTCACATGCATATGAGGTGATTGAAAATACGATGGCTTGGATCAGGTGCACCTTAGTTCCCAAAGTGACATCTTTGCTTCTTTTTTTTTTTTTTAAATATTTTAAAGAGGTCTTTTGCAGCAGATTTGCCCAATGCAATACATCATTTGATTTCTTGACTGTTGCTTCCATGGGTGTTGACTGTGGATCCAAGTAAAATGAAATTTTTGATGATTTCAATCTTTTCTCCGTTTATCATGATGTCGTTTATTGGTCCAGCTGTGAGGATGTTTGTTTTCTTTACGTTGACGTGTAATCCACACTGAAGGCTGGAGTCTTCTTGCTCTTCATCAGTAAGTGCTTTAATTCCTCTTCACTTTCAGCAAGCAAAGTTGTGTCATCTGCATAACGCAGGTTGTTAATGATTCTTCCTCCAA